CTTGAACGGTTGTAAATCGTCACTTTGTACAATGAAAACATGGAAATCTGCACCTCTAACATAGAAGAGCAATAGACACTACAACCTACTCCTGTTTGTAACTACTACTCATACGTCATAATGGTTATAAATTATTTAATGTCTATACTTTTAAGATATATCTTGTGATATTTAGAACAGTATTACTTACAACAGTTCTCACAGCAAATGTAATTACCATTATTTACTACTTCCAGTTTCATTCTATATTGCATTATAAGGTACAAGTTACTCAAACATTGAAACGCCCATAAAGAACATTAGAGGTTAAGAGATGGGTTTTAAAATGGCAGCATCAGGATCAAGTGGGCATGATGAGGTTTTAATTGCATTATTATTTTTTTTAATGAGCCCAGACAAGGTCCCTCACACATCATTATTTACGCCCTACAGTAGCTATCAGTCAACTTGATGTTTACTATGGTGCCTCTGAACAACGCTGCACACTCCTCACACTCTGGTGCAACAATGGTGTCAGAGAGGCTTTTTTGGAGCTGGATTTGAGAGGCTGTTAATAGCTGAGGAGATCACATGAGGATTACTGCATTGTGATTATCAGTTACCAATTTTGAGAGTTAAGCTGTGGGCATTTCTAATTGCTATGTTGAACAGTGATGTGCTCTTTTCGAGTGCCAAAATAAACCAGCAGCCTAGTTTTTTTGCACTCACATTTTCTGTATTTGGGTTATAGAGATCCTTAATTCTTAATTCCTATTTGGATGTCTTCTTTGTAAGTCAGTGCTGTCAGAAGTAGCTAACTAACTGGTGAGTTACCAAACTCTCACAAGAGGAGGGAGGGAATGTTGAAGGTAAATTATTGATAGACTTAAAACTCAGCAGCTCCAGGCAAAATATAAAATGGAGAAATGGTCAATGGTCTGCACATATAAAGCGTTTGTCTACCTTAAGATTCACAATCGGCCTCTCATTCACACACACACACACACACACACACACACACTGATGGGGACGGAGCTGCCCTGCAAAGAGCTGGCCTGCCCATCGGGTTCAGATTTCTGCTCTGAGGAGCCAGATGCCCCATATCCCTAACAATTAGAGAGTTTACATCAATCATTGGCTGAAATTAAGGTTCAATCCTTGCAAAACTATATTTTCAAGCAGATTCCTTAAGCACTTTAAAGGAGGCTTCGCGAAACCAAGGAGCAAGGAGGCAGAAACGCATGTATTTATTGTCCCTCATGATTGCTCAACTGGAGCTAAACAAGTCATTTCACACGAGGGAGAGAAATTACCGGTGTGAAGACGGAATGTTTCCAATTTAGCGATGGAAGGAAGACGAAATCTAACGAGGGAGAGATCCGGAAATTCAGAGATTTAGAAAGGAGGGGAGCAAAGAGAGAGAGAGAGAAACAGAGAAAGAGAAGTTGTGTCGCTTCCTTGTGTAGATGTAAGTTGACGGGTAAATTAGCATGTGTGGCTAATGGGGCAAAAAGCAGCCGAGCCCTCGCAGGCACCCTTTCGCTCTGACAAACAGGCAGCTTGTCGACCCAACCGTCGCCTCTGTCACACTTAAAAAAAACCACACAAAACACCACCCCCCCCCCAACTTTGACACTGGCTCCCTTGCTGACATACTTGCTCCACACATTCCGGCACCCCCGCACATGAAGCTGCTATGCATGTGCACCAGAGGAGGAAAAGATAAAAATCTATCCGATAGGATTTAGAACTTGAAATGTTCAAAAAGCTTTAGAGATGTTGGTGTTCCTTGATTGATATTTTATCAGTTTTTTCTTTTTTCCAGCAGAAATGAGAAGCAGCGAAAAATCACGGATCACAGCAAGCATCTTGAATAGAGCGTGTGGACTTGTTTACAATCTGCTCATCAATGCGAGGGGTAAATCTCTCGCCCGCAGCTTACTTTTTCTCTCCTCCAGACAGGAATCAATAGCCAGATTGTTCTCTGAATCTCTTGCCATTCATTTTTTTCTTTCTTCCAATCACTTTGACGTGCATACCTTTGATGCCATGTTGTGCATGTCATCTATGTGCCTGCGTTGTGAGTACGTGCACATGCATGTTTTTGGATCTGCGTAAGAGAGACAACAACTTATTACCACGTATCAGTGTGCCTGTCCTCTCGGAGCGGGAGTCTGAATGTTTCATCTAATCATTAAACGCTGACAGGCTTCACAGAGTGGCGCCACTGATCCCCGTTAGAGGAATACGGGGCCCGACTTCATTAGCCCTGTTAGTACTAAGCTGCTTTACCCTCACTCACGCCTGGCTTAACCTGCACAGTGATAAATGCTGAGGGGAGAAGGAAAAAGATAGGCAGCGGGAAAGAGGGGGTGAAACAAAAGGAAAGCACGCACAAAGGCATTTAAAGAGAGAGGCAAAGGTGCCAAAGCCAGGTACATGGGGATGAGGACGTGAGAGACGGGACGGGGGGAAATGAGAGGGCACAGGGCGTGCGAACCTGGAGTTTTCAGAGGCGGGGTAGGGGAGGAAGCTCAACGTGGCGTTTGAACTGAGAGGGATTTACAAATGCAAAAAAATCGAGCAAAACAATCAATTAACTCGTGTTGCAATTAATCAATTATTACGCCGGCGCATTGACAGACAAAGTGCTTAACTGAGATTCTATCGTGAGGCTGCGATGTGTTGAAGAATTAGTATTGACCTCTGTCTGCACACACATGCGTCCGCACTCATGCACGAGCGTCTAAGCGCGTAAAGATATGCACAAACATCATCCTCCTCGGCGTTACTTCTCCAGCGCATTCATCTGGTTCCCCCTCCTATCAAGAACCTCCCCCTCCCCTCTCAACACTCATCTTTTCCTCCTGCCAGCAGAGGTTTTTGGCCGGCTTAAGTACACCCACGGGCCCCCGAGGGACAGCCCATGACGGATGGCACTGCGTGTGACTCCGATTCGATCCAGCCCATTTGATAAATTTATCGCTGGCAGTTTGAAAACGAAATTAGAGGGACGTCTCCTGGAGACTGTTTTTCCAGCACAGGTGCCATAAATATACTTCATTTGGCAGAGGAGCGGGAAGAGGAGTGTGAGGGGGTGGAGAGGTGTTGGATAAAGGATGTCATGGTAGGGGAGGGGAGGGGGGGGGGGTTCCACAGAAGTAGTGAACTAAAGAATAAGGCCACATTATAAAAAGGTCCTTTATTAATCATGATATTGGTGAGGAACACTGGTAAAGGTCACACAACCACCGCCTAGTAGCTACCTGGACCTAAGTACTACATGCTGCCCCTCAGTCTAACACATGGACTGTGGCTTTGTACTCATTGAAGAGACGGGAGACTCTCATGTTGAATATATACAGATTGAGACTGTGGGGAGTTGACATTGCCGGTGCGCCCAAACGCCCTGCTTTCTCCATCTTTCATGCTCAGGCACACACAAACACACATATACTCACACCCTTACTGTATGCCAGTCTTTTTAAGAGACACACACAAACACATGCTTTATGTACACTATCTTTGCCTCAAGGTCCCATGGCTCTTCGGTAGCAATGGCACTGTCATCGCTGTATAGCCGGGATATAACTCACGGTGTACGAATGAATACCGCCGGCTATCTTTCTCCACGGCGCTCTCTCGACGTGTGGTACGGTGGGGGGGAGACAGTGAATGTTTTCGTTTGACGCTCCTCACTAAACGGATTTGAATCGGAGGTATTGCAATGGGAGGAGAAAAGGAAGACATACAAAGCACGCCAGAGAATCAGACAGACATGGACACCTACGGGCTGACAAAAGTGAGCGTTCATTCACTATCAGGGCTGCGTGGCCTTATTTATCTCCCTCTCATTCAGAGACGTATGCACGTGTGGCTGTGGAGGGATGATGTACACCAAGGCGGCCTCTGCTCCCCTTCAACATCTATCAGAGAGTCAGGCTCCCGCAACCCACATCACTTACCTTTATGAGCCCATCTGACAGCGTCGTACACCTCATAGTCATCATGCACATCGGTGTGTGTGTGTGTGTGTGTGTGTGTGTGTGTGTGTGTGCGAGGGCACACTGAGTGTAACCCGACACACAGACATATTACATCAAGGCCTTTGCACAGAATCTACAAGCATCTGAAGCTTTGCGAGGTGAAAATAATAAAATAAATGTTGTCACGTTCTCAAAGACGCATTCCCCGCTGTTAATGTTTCTCAAATATACATGTTGTGCACATTACATCAGACCCGGGTGACAATGACAATATTTTCAGCTGCGTTCTGTTCTTCCCCGCGCAAAAAAAACAACACCCCCCAAGTTCGCGCGAGCACCGCGGGGGAATCAAAGAAAGTTTCAACAAAATCAGCGGGGAAGTTCTCCCACGAGTGATTGTCTGCTTTTGCAATCACAGCACGTGACGCACCCTCTGTCTTTAACGCACGGAGCGGAGGTTCTGGGACTGCTGGGTGCAGACACCTGCGGGCTGCCACTCAGAACAAGACCTCCTGGAGCTGTTTAGACAGTTTGACTGTAGGCGCCCCCCATCATCTAACAAACATCAAAACAGCCCACAGGTACTTTCCCCACAAACGTCTCCCGCCTCCTACACCTCCCGTCTCTCCCCGAAGATCCAATATGCAAAAAACGATAACCTCCCCCAACCTCACATTACCATACACATGAAAGTGTGGAGGAGTCGGAACAGAACTGTGATTAGTCTTAACATAAGACTCACAGAGAAAGCAATGCGATGCTGCGCTCTCCGTCGTTGCGGGATGGCGGGATAATTTAGTCTAGGTGTCAGTGGGTGTGAGCGATTGAGTTTGTAATCAAACAGATTGTTCTGCAGCAGAAACACCAAACGACTCAAATTTAAATCAACATCACCAACGCCATGACATGTTTTTTTCATCTCATTGGCAAAAAAAAAAAAAAAAAAGAGAGACAATACACAGAGCGACACAAGCGCGCGTCACCCATCTGAAGACGCATGGGGATCCACAGGTGACTGATTGAGAGCTGTCTTACCTTTTTGTGATGACACTGTGGTATCTGTAGATAAAAAGAGGAGACACAAAGAGGGATCTGTTAGGAGCTGACAGGCACACACATAAGAAGCAGGAGATGACAGCCACGGCAGCGGTTTGCTGGGAGGGAAACGGGCCACCCAAGAGGATAAACAGACACTTAAGCACTCTCATGCACGCTTCAGTATGCGAACACACATAGGGAGTAGGACGGTAGGTGTGTCTGAATAATACACACAGCAGTCCCCCCTCCCAGGCCACCAAACAAGGACAGACCAGGCATCTGAGCAAACACATCGCAGAGAGGCCTCAAGTAGAAAGACGAGAGTCTCCAGACACCTGCGAACCCTTGATCTCCTACACAATTTACCCTGAGTGAGCTTTCTAATAACACAGAAAATAAAAACTACAAAAAATAAAAACTTTGAGGTGCGGCGAGACAGAGCAAATCATCCTTTCAGTAAGCATTTTAGGCTCTTACTCGGAGCCCACTAGAGACACACCGCTCGCCCACAAGGCGTGGATCAAAACACGGGCTGCTCGGAGGGAAGGATGTACTGCAACACGTTTTTTTTTTTATACAACACTGAAGAAGAAAAACTGAGTGAGGCGTGTTTTTGTGATGGAGAAAAACACAGTAACTCTAGCTTATAGTTCTCATAAAATATTTACCAGGACAGTGTTTGTAAGCTCCCACGGTTTCATTTTTATTTAATAGATTTGTCAAACTTGTAGGGATCCAGGAATAAATAAAAAGCAAAAGGAAAAAAAGCTTCATTTTTTTTTAATAATAACTTTGTTCTTGCAGCAGTTGAAATCCTTTAGAACATTTCTGTACTGGCCATGTGCCCAAAAAAGCCGAAATGGTCAGACATGGGAGGGGAATAATTGAATCCGGATGGATTTGTGGTGTGCTGGGCTGAGGAAGTGATAATCCAAAGCTCTGCCTAATTGCCAGAGTAAAGATGGCGCCCATTGTGGGGGTGGCTTCGGTGTTTATCGAGGCAGTGTAGCTTGGGATTGGACTGAGCATTAGGGCTTTACACACTTTTGTTTTGTGAGGTGTTACAGTGGATTTGAGCAAATATTGGCCCTCCGGTTATTACATGGTCTGATTGTCTGCTATGTGACTGTCCATAAAGCTCTGTCTACCCTAATCTGAGAGGAGGCTTCAAATAATTAGTTAGTGAAGCACTCTCACAGTCCAGCGCAGTCAAGCTCATCACTAAAAGAAAATCCTTGGTCCATTTCCTTCTTAGCCCGAGGGCTTACAAACTCTCGCCACTGTTAAAACCTCCGGGGTAGCCACAGAGACGATAACGTATTACTCAACATGTCCCAATCACCGGCCCGTATCCTCCTCCTACTCTGCGGTTATATATTTAAAAAGAAAAGACTGTAGAATTTGTCAAGCAGACATGTTCTGGCAAGTGCTTGTAGCACAAGTATACCGTCTTCAAGCTTTCAAACTACTTTAAGTAGATGATCAGTTTTCCAAAGATTAAGAAACATTTCCAGAAAAACAGACAAAAAGAGAGAAAAGGAGAGGAGAGTGCTTTAAGGTGAAGCTTTTAACATTGGTACACAAACTCGTGAAAATAAAATAAGGGTCTTAAACAAAACTGCCTCGTGCATTTTCTTATTCTTTTCTTATCTTTCTCTTCCTCCTTTTTGTACGGTGTGCTTGTACAAGTGTGCCACGTCAGATCTACAGCAACAAAACCTCAGATAACTGTCAATGACCAGCATAAACATGATGAATGCCACCTGTGTGTAAATGATACGACTATAAAAAGAAACCATAAAAGCCTATAAGCATCCTGCCCCATATGTCCTGTATTGAAGTCCTGCTATTGGAGATCCTTTGAAGGTTCTTAAAGGAAAGTCAATTACCATCTTCAGATCCAACTCTGCCCTGCTACAAGCTGCTATCCTACATCGTTCTGCACTCTTCCTCGTGGAAAGAAGCCTCCATTTCACAGACGAAATGTAATCATACCGGTAAACCTACTTATTCTAAACTCTACTGTTGAGTAGCAGTTCAATTTCATTTGAGAAAAACCCAGTACAGTGGATACGCAGTACATAGCAATGTGCACCTCCATCAAGCTGTCTGGGAAAGAGCTTGCAGAGGCTAAACAAAAAGCTGGAGACAACTCGACTCCATCTTGATATCATTTCAATATAACAAGGCATAATTTCAGTTATATTTGTTTCATTCCCCGGACGTATTACCTGCAAAAACCAGAAGGGGCCTACACCGAGTGTCGCTCTCTTTCTCTGTGCACAGATACATAATATATTGGGTGGGGAAAATGTACAACATGCTCTCTATTAACACTGATAATGACAAATAATGAGCACACGCACATACCAGTTCGTTGATAACAAATTATAATACAAAAAGCACTTCTTCCATCGGCTGGGTCAAAGCAGAGACAATGCTGATTGGTGTGAGCACACAAACATCTCTGCTGTTTAGGGAGGTAAAGAAAGCCTCCGCCATTGATTATTGCATTTTCTTCCAGCTATCAGTGGTTTATATGGATTTGGAGACTAATTTGCAGTGAAAATGCGAGTGGTGTTTTGATGTGCCCACACACCCACTGCAGTGGCCACGTGGGTTTAAGCATTATGTAGCCCCTCACTGTCATAGATGATGAAAGAAGAAGAGATGAATGGAGAGAAAGACCGACACTAAGACGATTCGGTATTCAGCCAACATGTACCCTCTTAACCTTACACTTTAATGTAGTAGGATGTCTGTAGTTTAAATGGAAAACAAGTCAAAAGGCAAACAAAGAACATTACAATTATATCTATTTACCTCGTTTTGGTGCCAATACATAGAAGGACATGAAAAACTGTCAACTTGACATTGCCCTAAAGGCCAGGCTTCATTCACTGTATTCCCACTGAAGCACACAGTGAAGCTGCTGTGCTTGAATTAGTAAATACTCAGAGTAAGACCGGCCTTTTACACCAAATCTCTGGATCTGGATAAATAAAAGAAAAAAGAAAAAAAAATGGATGCTTGCACACAGTGGGCAGTTCCTAAAAAATCATGTCGGCTGAGAGACAGCAGTGTTCAGCTCTGACCCTGTGGAGCACATCCATCAGAGGCAAGCGTCACCGACAAAGCTTTGCGTTTGGCACATCAACAGCGCTAGTTAATCAGACACGTAATTACATAACATAACACTGTTTCTTGGCCAAAAACAAAGAACCCAGCGTCAGACCTTGTTCAGCGGTGAAGATGTGTCATATAACTCAGGATACTCGCAAATTAAAATGTGTGTCCTTCCTGCGGTAGCCATGGACATGCTAAGTGGCAAGCTAGGAAAACGGGCACCGCTAAACCAAAGTGCCAACCTGCTTGCCTCAGCCGGGAGCAGGTTTGTATTTTGAAACACTGGAGGCAGCAGTGGTAACCACTACACTAGCTGAAGAAACCACTACAGCTTTCACATCATCATCATCATCACGTCCCGCTGCACCAGTCGAGTCTTCCTTTGTCTCAGGTCATTTTGAGGAGGAACTCGCACGAAAAAAGATTATTTATCGAGTCGCAGTTGCATTTTTACACCCCGACGCTCTCACATAACGAATAACGCAGAAGTTGCCGCGTTGCAGAATGTGCCGCGTTGTAGAAGTTGACGAACACATTGCACCGTACATGACTGTCAGCGTCCGTTTGTTGTCGGCACTTTTCTGCAGAGTTTGGCACATTTTTGTGCCATCTGTCACTTGTGAGCATCAAAACAGAGAGCATGACATGCAAGGAAAGCTTCAACTTGATTGAGAACCCTTCCTCTCTTTTGTGACCAATGAGCTGCTTCTTTCTAGCCTTACTGCATGTCTCAATGAAGGATTGGCACACCTGCACGCAACTCGATTAAAGCCATAAACATTGTGTGATGGATATAACTGTAGTTAATGATAGTAGCGAGGAGAGAATAAATGCCTCTCAGCGGATAGTACACATTTCTTAGATTCACCTCTTTTCCCCTCCTCTTACTCTCACCTTCCTTGAGTCTTTCAACCTTGCGCAGTCACAAACACTGTGTTACACTTCCCCAGTGTGACCCTTGATGTGAGGCCAGCTGGATCATTTTTGACACATAAATATTGTACAGCAGCCCTTTCCGAGGGCTAGACTGTATTGTTTACACCGTTAGATCTTTGAAATCCTCCATTTGGGGATTAAAAGGGGAGCGCAGTTAATTTCCCGATCGCTGCTCAGCATTTCTTAAGTTTATACAGATGGATTTCAGAGTTACTCGGATGCTCTCGGGTCATTAAACTCAGCACACAGAAGATAATGTGAACACGGGGAAAAAAAGGGAAAAAAACTTTTGGTAATTAGCATTAAAAATCACACTAAAACCACAGTTTTGGAGACATTATTAATTAAAATCGACCCGCGGCAGTCTCTGACATACTGTAATGCAGATGGTCCATTACAGATGAGGAGTAGCCAGGCACAGAGCTGAGGCTGTGGATGCATGCTGGCTCTCTGGTAAGGCAAATGTATGCGTCAAGTGTTAAAGAATCACCCCCTGATTCTTTAACATACACTATACATCCCAGACTGATTGAATTAGACTGATATTGGAAACCTGTCTTCTATTGACCTCTTAAAGTTGTGGCCTTCCAGCGGTCCGCTCAGGGAATAGTTTTAATTACAGCCAGAAATTGGGTTCGATTTTATCCTCATCATGAAGCGAGAAATCCTTACGGCTACTCATCGCTTCATCTGCACAAACGAAGACCACGCCATCGCTGTACGGCGCTGCGAGTAAGCATGCATAAAAATATCACCTTTGTGTGAGTGTGACTGCACATGTGCACGTGTGGCAGCATGTGAGCCGTGTAAAGAATGTAGTGTGCAGCAATGTGTGCAGACTGCGAAAGAAACAAATGTGCCTGTCCTCAGATGATTAACCGCTATTGATATATCATCTCTATAATGTAATTAGGATGAATTCCAACGCTGTAGCTGTTCGTCTCTTTATCACGCTCGCT